CATAAAGGCGCTCTCTCACCTCTACTGCCTGCCTGCCTGCACAGGCAGGCGCAATGAGAGTAAGGGAGAAAAAACATTTAATTTGAATTTTCTGACTCTCTTACTCTTATGTGTTACCATGACGACCTGCAGGCAGGCAGGCAGGCAGTAGAGCTGTGCGAGCGCCTTAATGACTATTATGTCGAATTCACAAACGTAGAATCTGTAACTTTACGAATTTATTTTTATCGAATACAAAATTTAAGAAAATTATTTTCACGAATTAACATTGACATAATTTTTATTTTCACTAAACAATAATTGATATAATTTTAAAACAGTCGATTTCTTATTTAGTCGAAAGTTTAAAAATCCGAAATTTAATTAAACCTAATTTTATTTTGTCTAATGGTGGTTCAATATAATGTGAATATTAACAAAATTTATTATAGCCAAATTTATAACTAACCTAAATGTAACTGAACCGAAAAGTAATAGTACATATTCCTTATTCTATAGAAATTAAAAGTGTTCGAATTATCATTTAATCGAATATTTATTATATAGAATTAATTTTAATCGATATTTCGAAATCTCGAAATGCAAATTAATCTAAACTAATTTTTAAGGAAAATACAACTAAGCGAATTTCTAATTATCCGAAAGCTAATTTGGTAGAAAATTTTTGTGGGTGAATTTAATTTGAGCCAAAAAGCAAGTAGCCGCAACGTCATCTATTATAATCTTAAAGTGGCGGAAAAGCTATTTGTAAGAATGGTTAAATAGTCGAAACGCCATCTATTCGAATTGTCCAGTAGACGATTCGTAATTTAGTCGAATGGAAAAAACGTCGAATGGACAAAACGTCGAATTTTGAAAACATCGAATTGTCAATTCGTCGAATTCTCAAAACATCGAATTGTCAATACACTGGAGCTTCACTTATTTTCAGTCTCACTTATTTGTTGTCGCACTTATTTTCACCATTTCCAGTCTCTCTTATTTTCAGTTAAAAGGTTCTCCGTGCGTTCTCATTGGTTGTTGTTAAATAATCCACCAATCAAATCAACTCGAATGTTACATTTCAGAGTGAAAATAAGTGCGACTTTGCCTTTCAGTTTGTTTCGACTTAGTGAAAATAAGTGAAGCTCCAGTGTACGTCCAATGTTTAAAACGTCGAATGATAAAAACGTCGAATCGTCAAAAGTTCGAAAAAATTTGTTTGATCTAAGTAAACATTAACTTAAAACAAAGAAATCTTTACTTAGATCAATCAAATTTTGTCGAACTTTTGACGATTCGATGTTTTTAGCATTCGACGTTTTTATCATTCGACGTATTGACAATTCGATGTTTTGAGAATTCGACGAATTGACAATTCGATGTTTTCAAAATTCGACGTTTTGTCCATTCGACGTTTTTTCCATTCGACTAAATTACGAATCGTCTACTGGACAATTCGAATAGATGGCGTTTCGACTATTTAACCATTCTTACAAATAGCTTTTCCGCCACTTTAAGATTATAATAGATGACGTTGCGGCTACTTGCTTTTTGGCTCAAATTAAATTCACCCACAAAAATTTTCTACCAAATTAGCTTTCGGATAATTAGAAATTCGCTTAGTTGTATTTTCCTTAAAAATTAGTTTAGATTAATTTGCATTTCGAGATTTCGAAATATCGATTAAAATTAATTCTATATAATAAATATTCGATTAAATGATAATTCGAACACTTTTAATTTCTATAGAATAAGGAATATGTACTATTACTTTTCGGTTCAGTTACATTTAGGTTAGTTATAAATTTGGCTATAATAAATTTTGTTAATATTCACATTATATTGAACCACCATTCGACAAAATAAAATTAGGTTTAATTAAATTTCGGATTTTTAAACTTTCGACTAAATAAGAAATCGACTATTTTAAAATTATATCAATTATTGTTTAGTGAAAATAAAAATTATGTCAATGTTAATTCGTGAAAATAATTTTCTTAAATTTTGTATTCGCTAAAAATAAATTCGTAAAGTTACAGATTCTACGTTTGTGAATTCGACACAGTCATTATGCTCTTTTCATTCTGATACAAATGTATGCAACCCGAAATATGTAATGGTTTGACCCTATATGTATATATATTGTCATCGGTAAATATTATGATAAACTATAAAATTTATTGAAATGTAAATTAAAAGAAATTAATAATAATTAAAAGTTTGGATTACAAAATCACATAAAAAATGTTACGAATTTGGAACAATGAAAATAATGTGAAATACGTAAAAGAAAACAATTATCCAAATGTTACCGGCAGGTAAAGCAGTTCTCTTTTTCCTTCCACATATTGATCTCTATACAGCAGACAAGTTAATACCGACGCGACGAGACAAGCTTTAACATACCTATTTATAACGCGACTTTTGGTACACCCCGTATAGAATTTTACGAAACTCTGTTCGAGAATTCACGATAGACAGCGAAGTGAAAACTCAAACCACGCGAAATTAGTTTCGTAAAATCTGCTGAACTTATTTTTTCCGTGCAGCAAATAATGATTAAAATTTTGATTAGGCTTGGGATTAAGAAAAGGTTACCGTTTTCGTGTATTAACTCTTCAAATATGTTAAAATTTCATTGTAGGCAGATAATTAGTAAATGTTTTTTACATGTACACCATTTTTTTAATTATATTCGTCAAAAGAAACGACATAGTAATCATTTTTTAATTCACGAAATAAAGTTTTGGCAGGTGAGGTTATGTTCATTCCAGCACTGCGATCAGAATGCGAGAAAGGCGCTAGACTACAAAAGTGTTTCAAATGCTTTCAGCGCCACTACAGCGCAATGGAACGCAAGAGTGGCACCATCAGGGATGGGTAAATGTAACAAACTCGAGGTTTTCTACGTATGTTACATGTATGTTACATAAAGTAACATACGTATGTAACCCCCCACTCTCGAAAATTACATGGATGTAACAATGTAAGGACGTAACATACTAGGTAACATACAGTAACAAACCCAGGTAACATACATGAAGTATGTTACGTACCCATCCCTGGGCACCATGCTAGCGCTACTAAATTTTTCTACTAGGGGAGTCGGAGTCAAGCTGAAGTCGCACAGACAGCGAGTATTGAAAGCATCCGAACCTAAAAATTGCTACACTGAGAAAATTGGATATTAAAAATCTTAATATACTAGATATTAAGAAAAGATGCTAATGCATATCATCCAGATGTTATGGTTTAATCATGGATTAATATCTCAGATGTTAAAAAGTATAATCTGTAAATGTGAGGTTATGTTTGAACAAGTCTTTTTCCAATATCTTAGATATTAAATTTGAACATCTAAGAAGTTTACATAGTTCACTGTCACAGATATTGATCATTAATATCTAGATAATAAGGCTTAATATCTATTTTTCTCAGTGTACGTGCGAGCCGCATACGCTATTTTTTTCGCCATTAATATGAAAAAGCAAACATTTCAATCTTTCAAGCATTCAATCTTTCAATCATTCAATCTTTCAATTTTTCAATCCCAATCTCTCAACCATTCAATGTCAATCATTCGGGACGCATGAATAATAATAATCTCTAGAAATCATTAGTTAGAAGTTTTAAATGATTGAATTTCATTTATTAGAATTTTTTTTAGCAGAATTTCATTTTTTTCGAATGTTTGTTTAATCGACTTTAAATTGACCCGAATATTTACATTAACAGATTTATAAATACTCGAATTTTTATTTATGAGAATTATCATTTAACACAATTTCAATTAATGGTACTTTCCATTAAAATGAATTCTTATTTATACGAATTTTTATACTTGCAGCAATTTTGCAAATATTACTGTAAGTTTAGATGTAGTGGGGGAACTATTAAATGAAGTTTTCTAGAAGCTAAAATAAAAAAATGTGATTGTAAATTATTGTTTAAAAGCTTTATTTCATGGTTTCTCATCAAACAGTCACAAGAATGCGTAAAGTAATCATTTTACACACTAAAAATCACTTTACACACTGGAATTCACTTTACCCACTGCTAGCGGCGTGTTAAGTAACACTTTACACACCGCTATAAAAAGAAGTACTTTACACACAGTTTTCTGTATGTAAAATTAAATTTTACAGGTTAGTGTTACAAAAAAAGTCTTTTTACGGCAGTTGTCCAGAACTGCTTGAAAAAGTGCTACTTTATTTGCCCAAAACAGGTCCCAAAAAAACACTTTTTCATGTCTATGGCGAAAAAAAAAATTTTTTTCCCGACATTTCCCTGACTTTACTAACAAAATATTTTTTTCTTTGACATTTTCGTAACTTTACTGACATGTGGCTACCCTGTATTATTTTCTAAATTTTGAGGGTGCACAGTCCCCCACATAAAATCTGTTTTTGCAATACTAACCTGTAAAATTGAATTTTACACACAGAAAACTGTTTAAAGTGTAACTTTACACACCGCTAACAGTGTGTAAAGTGATTTTTAGTGCGTAAAATGGTTACTTTACGTATTCTTGTGACTGTTTGATGAGAAACAATGAAATTAAGCTTTTAAACAACAATTTACAATCACATTGTTTTATTTTAGTTTCTAGAAAACTTTATTTAACAGTTCTCCCAGTACACCTTAACTTACAGTTATATTGCTGCAAGTTTAGTTGTTGTAGTGTTGCAAAAAATTTCGTATGGCACTCGTATAATCAACGATTTTACGCACTTGTTTCATAAATAACTATTGTGTAAATATCTCAAAAGTCCGCGTGCCTGAGTGGAAAATATTTTACAAAATTATGTTTCTATTCCTTAATTACTTGTATTTAGTTAAAAAATTGTGCATTAAAAAAAATAAAAAAAATAATTTATAATCTATGCTTTAAAACTTCATACGGCTCTGAATGTAATGGACCATAGTGATTGTTTAGAATTGAGGCTTTTGACAAAGTGATTCTCTTAGTGACATTTTACGAATATTTTAACTACTTTTATAAAAAAGAGTAAACTTACAATTGCTTGTTGGTCAACACCATTAGTTGAGGGTGGTGGACTGAAACTGGTTGCAGTTTGTTGGCCAGGTGTGACTGTATGTGGTGCTCCAGTGGGGGGTGGTACTTGTGGTCCTCCAGGTGTTGGTTGTTGTGATGCTCCGCTCGGCTCTTCTTTGACAGGAACTGGGGGTGGCGGTTTTACATCTCCAGCAGCACTAGCTGATCCCACGACCCCTGTGACTCCATTCACAGGAGGAGGAAACACTCCACCACCATAGGGCGCAGCCATTCCTGTCTGCACCATGTGCTACACAGAAAATATTTTTAAATTATGAAAACATATAACTTTTATAAAGTATTTTAATTTTTATTTATTCTCTAAATTTCCAATACAATCTACATTGTATATAGGTAGACCAATCGATTCGTCTTGATGTTGGGAATAGAAAATTTCTTTAAAAATGAAAGTTTTGGAATTTCTATAATTAAAATTAGTAAATACACACAAGCAACATCAGAGTGACATTCACCGCAGTAGAAATGTTCGATGCAATGACGATGTAACGCTCTTCTTAACCTTTGCGCAGCTAAAACGTTTTTATAATTGTAAATTGCAAAAAAGACTTAAATTCACCCAGATATCTTGCTACAATCGAATGATAACAAATAATGAATTTAATAATGTTGCGATTAATTTCGCTCTTGTTTAGACAATTAATGATGATTTAAACAAATTACTGTGTCACTGGAACTTTGTTGGGGATTAAAATTGTTCAGATAGGGGAGACCGGGGCGTTATAGATAACTTTTCATTCTTTGTTGTTTTTCTAGGCTATTTTTGTTTTAAGAAAATTTTTATCTCTCGGAAAAGTTACTCTGATATCTTAGCTTTCTTTTAAAAAGTAACATAAACAATAATGCTTTTTGAAAAACGAATGCAAGATCATGCTCATTCAATTTTTGGTGCAAGATAATTTTTAGTGTATTTTCCATGCAATAAAAGTCTTATTCAAAATTGTGTTCAAAAAATTGTCATGGACAGAACTATAAATTTAACCTAAATCTTCCTTTTAATATTAAATTACAATTGAGGGCGTGGAACGGATAACTGCCTGCAACGTATGGTTGAAAGGGACTATACCAGTCAGATATCAATGAGAGGCCTTGAGGCGCTCACTATTGTCTGACTGGTATAGTCCTTTTCGACCATGCGTTGCAGGCAGTTATCCGTTCCACGCCCTCAATTATTTATCTGATAATTTCAGTGGATATCTATTGTTTATAAGAAGCTTTAAATAAATAACCTCTCTTATGTAATAAAAATTATTTTGTAAGCAATTGTAATTAAAAATTTCATTGAACTAAATATTTCATAAAATTCATACACTGAAAGACTTTTCGTTTTAAAATTTAATATATTTTATGTCAAAGAGGGGAAAATGCTGTTTTTGTATTATTTAATCATATGACTATAACAGTTTTTGACAACACAATACTGCACGGAGAAAATTTGTTCCTTACATTTTACCGAATTTTTTAATAAACTTGGGATATAGTAGCATAATCGTAATTTTTAATAATTTTTATATTATTTTTTCGGTAACAATATTTAAAATCTAATGTGATATCTTTATTCCTTAAGAACTAGTACTGTAAAAGTTGAAAAAAAATTGAAACTGAACGTTTAATGTAAATTAAATAAATACCTCCTTGATGGGCACTAACGTTTCAGGAATAGTTCGGTAAAACTTTCTTGACTTGCTTAAAGTGTTAGTTTTCAGGAATAGTTCGGGAAAACTTCCTTGACTTGCCTAAAGTTTTAATTTTCTGGATTGAAATACTTTATTTCAAGTGTCCCGCAGTCAAATGAAAGACTTTCACACTAATAGTTGATTTTTCCAACTTATTTAGACTTAATTAATAATCCTTTCATTATTATTTAAATTAAAATTCAATTAATTAATTATTTTAAACACTTATTAATTGCCAAATATGTAATAAATGCTTTTAAATCAAGTAAAAAGAAAATATAAAATGGCAATAACATACTTATTTTTTTAACATATAATTTATTCATTTTAATTAAATATGAATAATAGTAAGTAAGTAAGCAAATAAACATAAGTAAGTAAGCAAAAAGGAAATAAATAAATAAGCAATTAAACATATAAGTAAGTATGTAAGTAAGTAAATAAGTAGGTAAGCAAGTAAGCAAAAAGGAAATAACTTGCTTGCTTACTAGCTTACTTTCCTTCTTGCTTACTTTGCTTACTTGCTTATTTCTTTCTTGCTTACTTGCTTACCTACTTATTTGCTTACTTCCTAATTTCCTTCTTGCTTACTTGCTTGTTTCCTTTCTGCTTACTTACTTCCTTATATGCTTACTTGCTTACTTTCTTATTTCCTTCTTGCTTACTTTGCTTACTTGCTTATTTCTTTCTTGCTTACTTTGCTTACTTGCTTATTTCCTCCTTGCTTATTTCCTTCTTGATTACTTACTTTCTTATTTGCTTACTTTCTTACTTGCTTATTTCCTTCTTGCTTACTTTATTCTTTATTTGCTTACTTGCTTATTTCCTTTTCGCTTTATAATACCTCACAATTATTATTTAATATTTCAGAAAGATTAATTTTCTATTAATTAATTTAATAATTTCCAACTTGCACTATTAATATGTATATTTTTAATTTTAAACACAAAAATTTGAAAATAATAAGGATTTTTATAAATTATTGTTTTATTCCATTAAATACAAATTTAAACATTTTTCTTTATAATAGTAAAAACATAATTTAAAAATATTTCATAAATTGACCTTGAATATAGTTAGAAATGATTCATTAATATAAATAATTTTTAATTTTGTACAACGATAGTTTATTAATTTGAATCTTTCTCACAAGCGGTGAAATAAAATTGAGATTAATATATAAGGACAGTTGAAACTTTCTGAAGCATTAATGTAAAGCGTGCGATGTGTGTATTAGTGTATGCGTTTAGAATGTACTGTAGGCAGGTGTATCAATTAGTATTTGTTCGTCAACAATTGTAGGGGGTTTAGGTAGTGATTAAAGTAGGTAAATTGAGAGTTACGGCAGTATTAATATAGATCTACTGAAGTAACATTATTTTTTATTTTTGTTCTTCAAGTTTTACCGAACTTTCAGTAAATTGCAACTCGTCAGTTTTACCGAAGACTTTATCTTACGTTTTACCGAACTATTCAATAAATTGCAACTCGTCAGTTTTACGGAAGACTTTATCTTACGTTTTACCGAACTTTCAATAAATATGAATGTAGCGAGCACTTGGCTTACGTTTTACCGAACTGTAAGTGAAGCGCTAATACATGTATCGTGAGCTTTATGATTTTTACATTATTTTCCAATGCAATTTCTTTTACAGTCTAGTTCTTGAAAAATTACTGTTTTGACACTTTGTCCCAGTTTTACCGAACTAAATTCAGTAAAATTTCAGGAATAAATTTTCTCCGTGTGAAAATTAGTATAGTCCATTTTGAAAATTAGTAGTGTTATGTGAAATATTATTATAAAATTGAATTTAACAGGTTATATATATATAAGATATTGAGAAAATTATTTCATTTATAAGTATAAAAAATACTATAATTTGAAAAGAATGTTTGAAAATTTAATATGATTCTATATCAAGCAGAAATAGTATAACACATATTAGCAAATATTGTAAAGGAATGACTTAATTTTTCATACGGCATCGTATTAAATCTTCTCCGAATCGCTCCGAGTGATCCCGACAGTTTCCGAGTACTTTCGTTCTTTGTAAACAGTGTAAATTGTGCTTTTATATTTTAAGAAGACTATTTTTACATACATGAAGTTTTAAATAATATTCATCAAAGCACAATAAATGAGTATGAATAAATCATTGAAAAATATTATTTTCAAGTTGTGTAATGTGTAACCTGTGTAACTACCCAGTAAACGAAAACTAATTGAAATGAATTAAAAAGAATTCACAAAGAGCTTGAGTGAATCCCGCTTTGTGACAAATACGAATTGGAGCCATGATGCAATTTTCCTGAATTCGTGAAACTGTATTGAACTTCCGAACCTTCTATCCGTACCAATTCACTGGACAAGTTTTGAGCCTTTAATTTTTTTCAATTCGTTAGCACGAATTCAATGCATTCCTTGGCCATTTCTTTCGAATGCGAATTCGTTTGGACAAATTGGTACATATTGAATTAAATTCAATTGAATATACAAAGAGCTTGAGTGAATCCCGTTTTGTGACAAATACGAATTGGAGCCTACCAAAAATGTTAATTCGTTTCAATTCATTTGAATTAGTTTTTTTTTACTGGGTAACATCACATTGTTTTTGAGGTTAGGTTAAAGATCAAACTTTTATTTCGGTTGGTAGAATTCTTTTAAAAACTCTTGCGGTGAGATTTTAAATGCATAATGTATATAAAGTCAGAATAATAATAATAAAATGAATAAATCATAATAATTATTATTATTATACATAATTATTATAAATTATTATTTTTAAATTATTATTAGGGGAAAGGTGTACGAGATGATCCCCTGGGGCAAGATGATCCTTTTGAATTTTGGAGAGCCTATTAGCGCTACCTTTTAGGCAAATACGGTAATACGTTGCCAATGACATATCTATGAATCAGTCAAACTGTTATGACAACACGCGAAATGTCCATTCGGGGAAATAGATTCGGGGGAATGTACGGTAATCCGCGTCATTAAAAAAATTCTATTGGAAAAAATAAAAATTTCATACTTTTGATCTAAGGAAAGCTTAACTTTGGGCTTAGATAACTTTTGTTGTAGTAGCTGAAATTCCATGTTTCTTGTACTCACGGCTTCAGTATCTCTTCAACTAAGTGTTCTGATTGGTATTATGGAATAACAGAGCTCGTAGGTTAAGTTACGAACAAATTACAAAATAGTGGCATTTGGGGCAAGATGATCCCTCAATGGGTGTACAAGATGATCCCCCCTAATTCCCATGTATTTCGTCTCACCTCAAAGTGAATTTTCTAGTATTAATAAAAAATTTAATTTTTCTCGCTTCTTATATGATTTTATTATGAAAACTAACTTATCTAAAACAAAAAGTTGACATCTACATCTATTTTATTAATTTTCTTGTTGTAGACAATGCCTCGTAATTATAAAATTGAAAAATGAATCTTGGTGAGTGTTCAAAGGAATTTATAACCTAAATAAAGCATATTTAATATTAATTAGCTGCAAATATTTCAAATCAGAAAAGTTAGATAGATTAATTATCTAGTAGTGCGT